CGTAGTAATAATTATTACATACGACATTATTGATGATTTTCCACAGACTTGACTCTACATTTGAATTCGTCACACGTCACACGTTTTTACTGATAAAATAACGCGTAATTCATGTTTATGACGAATTTACTTTTAGGGTGGGTTGCACCACCTAATTTTGACGGTAACTATGACGATAACCGGTTATTTTTGTATGGAGTTTGACAGACGTTTGTCACAGTTAAAGTAACATGGTGCAACCCAGCCTTAATGTACAAAACTTACAAAAGTGCGAAAAATCGACTTTGTGGCTTTAACAATAACCCAAAAAACTTCAGTGTAACTTGTTTCAAAACAATCTTGACCGAAAGAAGAACGGTCACGCCCCATACAAAAAAAACCCAGACCCGACAGAAACGAGACATACCTCAGTTTTTTTCTCATGTCCTAATTAGTTAAATTATATATTTTTTATATTCGAAATCTATGTATAACACCAAAATATTACCCTTTGTTTTTGTTTAGGCGTTATACAAAAACTAATACAAAATGCTTATTTATCACCAAAATTGGTAAATGTATGTACCTAAATGTCTATTACAGCTGCTATGGAATGTATCTAGGTGACCTGGAGATACAACCGGATTATACAGGGTGGTTATACATATGGAACAATAAGTGATCTCACTCGATTATTTCTAAACTATACAAGATATTGAAAAACTAGTTACTGATTCTGAAAGTGCTTCATGAGCTCTTTCAAATGGTACCAATAATAGGGTATAGATTATGGAAGCTGGTAACATTGAATTTTTGGATTTTGTAACTTATTATTTTTTCCACCCTGTATAATCCGGCTGTATCTCCAGGTCACCTAGATACATTCCATAGCAGCTGTAATAGACATTTAGGTGCATACATTTACCAATTTTGGTGACAAATAGGCATTTTGTAGTAGTTTTTGTATAACGCCTAAACAAAAACAAAGGGTAATATTTTGGTGTTATACATAGATTTCGAATATAAAAAATATATAATTTAACTAATTAAGACATGACAAAAAAACTGAGATATGTCTCGTTTCTGTCGGGCCTGGGTCACAGATGACCGTTCTTCTTTGTATTTAAATACGAAATCATGTCTGACGAGTTTTCACTTCGTTTGCTCCGCCCAAAGAAAAAGCTGCTACTTTATGTACACAGCGACGAGGACGCTAAGTTGACAAAGCGACCTAAAATAAACGAAATTATTAGCTTTGTTTCACGAGCATACTCTGATATTATGTTGACTCAATTGTATTAGAGGGGTTTCAAAGGAAATCATGTAACTAAAACTAACTACGACATTTCCAGTTCGCACTGATTATTTGCTCGTAATTTGATTTAAAGAGGCGATCTGATTATGCTTTGTTATTATTATTATTAATATATTATCTCATGTAGTCATGTGGGATTTAAAACGGCATTGCGATTTAAGACCTTGTTCCGAAATATAGTTTTGCATAATGTATTTCAATACTGTCGTTTGATGCACCAAATCGCAAAGTGCAATATAAAATATTCTGTTTCTGCCACGAGCCAGTTCGGAGCTGATATTAAAAGATGTGGAACTTACAAAGCATTTTCTTGGTCTTACAACGGTCTTGAATATTTTAACGACATTCATAAGGGACGACTTGAATATTCTAACGACATTAATAGTTCAAAAACGTTTCAGTTTTAAAGTTTTAATTTTGCTTCATAAAACATGCTGTGGGATATAATTTCCTAGTTCGTATAGGTACTTACGTATTTAAAAATAAAAATTGACCGGTAAATCTGGAGGTTTTGACGATTACCTTCTTATTCTAATGAGCTCAGTGTAGTTAAAAACTAAAAAAAAGATTTAAATATTTTTCAGACATCAGTAAAAGATGGGCAAACTTAAAAGAGCAGTAATAATAATCCAAAACTCACACGTGCGTTCTACCTAAAGTATAAATTATGAAATTAAAACAAGGTTATAAGAACCACTTTACCACCAAGTGCGTTGAAAACGTATTATAGGTGCCTCTGAAAAGCAGTTATAAGTAGGTATATATTACTTCTCGAACTCTATACGTGGCTTAAATAAAATTGATACCAGACAAATAGACAGGCTAACAAGCTTCGTATTTCTGTGCCAACCGAAATTCTTGGTCCGTGACCAAAGGCAGAAAATTCCCAAACGACCTATCAAAAAGCTAATTTACCCGATAGAGAATCAAGAGGCGGCGAATTCGAGCTTGTGCGAACTCTACACCCCACAATTCTATCAGGAACATAGCAATTAACTCATTTAATCTTGGAATCATTCCTGAAGATGTTTCCAACAAAATACTGAATAGGTACTGCAAAATATTTCGGGCTTGCTTTACTATATTAGTTTCAGCAATTATGCTATTCGGACAATTACTCCAGGCCAATCTGAGTGAAGGGGATTGTTCTGTACTAGCTGTGCCTGCGAATTCGTACACTTGAAAATAGTTTGAATAATATTTTCGGATTCCACCCATGGGCCTATTGGTTGTAAGATGATGTAATAATATAGCCTTCCTCGATAAATAGGCTATCCAAAACAAAAAATATTTTTTAAAATCGGACGTAGTTCTTGAGATTAGTGCGTTCAAGCAAACAAACTCTTCAGCTTTTTAATACTTGTAATAAGTATAGATATACTAGTAACAAATTCCGTAGAGATCTAGGCCAACAAGGTCTAATCGTCAGGTATGAACAATTGGTTGTTCCGGTAATGAGTACCTACTCGTAAATCCTTTATCTTTATAGTAATAAAAATAGTAATAAAATGTTGTCTTTCCATTTTTGTGGAATTACTTATCACTTGTGCACACTTAGGCTTAATTGCTCCATAAACCTTTAACCGTAACTTTATTGATAACCGGTGTTTTTTTTGGTGTTTAACAGATTTGTGACGTCTATTTATAGTTAAAGTAAGATGGTGCAACCCAGCCTTAACGATTAAACCCTTTGTACTTTAGTCGCATCGCATCGCACTAATACGGGTTACAAAGCCAATGGTTCTGGTTTCTGATCCAGCAACAAGGACAAACTTTCGTGTAAAGTGTAAATCATTTGTATCTGAGTCACGTCTTACATTGTATTGATGTATTGACGGTCTGTGGTCTGGCGATTCGCGTCCAAATCTACAACGCCATCTGTGGTTGCGAAATCCGCGAGGGTCAAATGTTAGTGTGAAATGGATGTTAATAGCGACCACCATTTCATCAGGTCATTATGTCTACTGGGGAATCACGATTCACTTAGATTACAATACGGGTAGGTACGTAATATTTATGTACGAGTATTACATAAATTAGTTTTTAATTGACACAGAAAGTACAAGCTCTGTTTAATTTGGGGTGAGGTCGTTAGAAGTTATAATAGGACTTACATGACCCTAAAGATTTTATCATTTTGTTGGTAGAAAATCTAAAGGTGGACGCAAATATTACTGATTACTGGTGTGTGATTCTAACTAATATTAGTAGCAAAACGAATGACGTTACACCTAACCTTGAATGCTCGCTCCCATGCTTGGCTGAAACGTACCTACTATTCCATCATGTCTGAGTGGCTTAGGTTGTGTGTTCACCTGTATTGGCTTGTACTCGTAATGTAACACTCAAAGGTATTCAGGATTAAGCCAACAGTGGAATGGACAACACAACGCAGCTTGCATAGCCTTGCAGTATTAGTATTGCTGGTTCAGCGGTCAGAGAGTTGTACTGTTACAGAGTGCATCAGGAAAAGTTTTTATTTAACTATTTTAATCCCCAATGGAGTAGTTAAAATAATACCAATGGTTAAAGATACAATCTCTACTAATTTTATAAATTAATTGAATTATAGAAAGTAAGGTTGAGTTGCACCACCTAAATTTGATCGTAACTATAACGATAAACCGATGTTTTTTGTATGAAGTTTGACAGATTTTTGAAGTTTGTCAAAGTTAAAGTAAGATCGTGCAATTACTCCAGCCTAAAGATTCTTATTGTAATGACGTTAATAGAATAATAGCTGTGTGTGTTCTACATAAAATAAGTAGTGCAATTAAGCCATTCCAGATGCCTGATGATATCTAATATCAGGGTTGTGTGATCTTGATGGTTATAGCTCACACGTCATACTAAGAAGACTGACAACTATCTGCATTATGAAAACGAGATATATTATAACTTGGCTGAGTTGCACCAATTAACATTAACAGTAATTTTAACGATAACCAGTGTTTTTTTGTATTGCAAGCAAACTTGGCGGCGCACTGTGGCAGACCAGGCGAAGAAGATCGGCAAGACTTGGAGCGAGATCAAACAAATAGCTCAAGACCGAACGCGATGGAGGACTGTTGTGGACGCCCTCTGCCCCATCTAGGGGGGACCATAAGTCAAGTAAGTCAAGTGTTTTTTGTATGCAGTTTGACAGATTTTTGACTTTAGTTAAAGAAAAGTTAGGTGGTGCAACCCAGCCTTAATGTTACAAGTCATCTGACAACGAAATATTCCATTAGACGAAAGCTAGTACGAGTTTTGTAAAGGATTTATTCTCAAAACCTCAGCCACATCACATCCGAGCTGCAGGAGACACGTGACAGTTCTGACGCGATTCTTTCATTTTTCTTGATGAAAATACGAGTAAATAATATTATTTTTCCCGATAAAGCACTTGATCGTTTCATAAAGCGCGATCGCATTGTCACTACAAAAATATTTTGTAATGATACAATTTTACTCATATCATAAAACATGTTAATTATATCATGCATCAATATAATTTTGTAATTTTCAAAGAATTTATAATAATTACCTACTACTACTATACAAAGATTAGGTATACTGTCTCAGTGTCTCTTAAAGATACCGATGTTATTCGGTCTTATTTGTTAGAAAAACGGTTTCTAATGCGGCAGACTACAATTTACATGGCTGTAAAATTTACAGTTAAAATGTTTTAAGTTTTGGTCTTATACAAGATATTAATACATACCATGGGAGATCGCTTGCCCTCCTTCCTAGGCGGTGGCGGCAACAGCTCCAGATGAGTGGGCCTGGAGGGCTCGCTGCCACCGACTGCTCCTTCCTCCACCACTCCCTTCGATGTAGACGCACCCCCTACGTCCGAAACTCCACAATCTGAAGCTGCTTCTGTGGGCGTTAGCACTAAGTAGAGTCACACGACAAAAATAATTGCAGCATTTTAAAGGTGCTTTCCTGAACCGAGCTACCGATACGTGCAGGCTGCATGAAGTCCAGCTAGTCAATGGCGGACTAAGCCCGTCAGAGGCCCGGGGCGGACAAAGCTAACTGGGCCCCCCTAGCTTTAAAAAAACACGGCGTATCCATGGCCATGGCCATGTAACAGGGGGGATCATGGTTAGTACTATGCTATCATCTTTCAAATCGGTAGCCCATTTTGCGGTGGGGGCACCAGACCATTCTGGGGTTTTTGCCATCTCGGCCTCCCCGCTATATGTGTACACATGAGAGTACTGAGAACTACTAAGTACATTTTGAAAGTCTTGTTTTGGATTTCATCAGGAGAACGTGGAGGCATTTGGGGCCTCCCAAAGACCGACACTGCAGCTAGTGCTTCAAGAGCTACTATCGCGGCGTTTGGAAGTCTCACATAACCAGTAGTGCAGCTATGGCCGACCTCATGCAGCCTTCATGCTGTCGGGAGTTGTAGTTGGCAGCTTCGTTCGGAATAGCACCTTAAGCGCTCCTGCACACGACGCCGCCGCCGCGCTGCCGCCGCGCCTATGCACTGTTTATACGCGCCGCGTTAAGCCCGCTGCCGCGCCGCCGGCGAAATTATGCTTTGACGGCGCGGTGGCGGCGCGGCGGCGGCGCGGCGGCGGCGCGGCAGCGGCGCGGAGCGGCGCGGCGGCGGGCTTTACTCTTCGGCGCGGCGGCGTCGTGTGCACGAGCGCTAATACACATACGAAGAAAACATTTCTTTGTTTATAATGTGCAATTGGAAAATCAACCATCAATCAATAACTGAGTTATTTCAAGTCAACAGAATGCGTTTATGCGACGCAAGAATGGCTGACAGGAACCCAAATTGGTCGTAAGTGAAACAGACGTTTACAAATAGCAGGCAGACGAACTGTAAAATGCCTCGTAAAATAAATCAGTGTATGAAGAGTTATATGCGGTTTTACTATCTACAAAATTATTGAAACGCATTGAGTAATATACCTTCGTGTTCAGAATAAATGTAAGTTTAATTTTAGCTTTTTTGAGTTTCATGTTACTTGTATTTAAAATTGCAGCGTTCCTTTAAAACTTGTAAAAAAAAGTCAATCCGAATATTGGATAGTACGAATATTTTGACTATATGAAATACAATTTAAATTGGTTTAAGCTAGGATTTTCGGAATTTATTTTTCAGTAGTAATTGAATTATTCAGTCCCGATTTCATTGACCTATCAATTTAGAGCTACATGTCACGAATTTTGTTGGTTTTTTAACAATGTGAAAAATAATGAAGTTTAATTTCACCTCTTCACCCCATTATTAAAAATTTAACATGATTAAATTATATTTAACGTACTTATACTATTTGAAATTTCAGACAGTTGATATTTCGCAAAAAGAAGGCAAAATTACAAAAGAAATGACAAAAAATGTGGTTATTGATCCACGGAAGCAAGCCCTTTGAATATCGCGGCATTTTGCATTTACATCTCATTAAGTAATACGGCGGTAAATCTTTATACATAGCGAGGCAACTGCTACCATATTCAGATGACTATAAAACATCGTTAAATATAAATTTGTGGGGCCCTTTTGTTCACTTTGCATCAAATTGTTATAACCCGCACAGCGCCGACTGAGTTTGTTGTGCCAATTCTAACCAAATGTTTGAATCCAAGCGCTGGTAAAATATAGGTTTTCCAGATCTTTGGAAACTTTGATGATGTTGATTTTTAACAGAAAGCTTGCATACAAATTGGGAGTTAACTGGTAGTTTATTTGGTTGGGAAATTGGCAGTGGTTATTTAGGTAGATAAAGGCGAATCGTTTCAATTAAAATTGAACTTTAGTTCTTTTAAATCAAACACACAAGCATAAGGAAGAATAGCGAGAATTTCCTATAAAGTAAAATCCAGTTACTACCGAGAAAACGGAAGTAAGTATTAATGTCGTAAATGAGACATGAATGGTTTTCGTAGTAAATCAATCACTCAGTAAATCAATGGTGTAGCAGAAACGTTACTTTGGTTTCTGTGCTCATACATACAAACTGCTAGGCGAAGGTATAGCAATATGACGTTGCCAGTTAAAACAGCTGTTTCATATGCGTCGGATGTCATAAAATGATACATAAAAGCTAATTATAAGCTGCCCACGACGAACTAAAGAGAATAGACGTAGGTAGGTGAAATTGCGGTGATCTAATTAAACAATTCTACTCAGAAGCATTGCGTTTAGTTCTTTAATGTTTTTGCATTAATTTTATTCTTCTTTTTTTTTTAAACACAGTTGGTTTTTTTTTGTTTTATCATTTTGAAGATTGCTTTTAGTTTATTTGATAGTCGTGTCTGATTGTATCTCTGTAAACGTTGTTATGATTAACAATATTAAAAAAACCTTTTTGAATAAGTTTAGCGGTACCAAGAGCTCTTGGCAGCACGAGTATTAATCTGTAAAAATCTAACTTTTTGTTTTGTAATAGTCGGACGTTACGCTGCTTTAAACAATTAATACTTACTTTGAGTTACGAGTGTTTTGCTAATATGGTTCTATTTATAGAAGAGAATTGATACAATTACTTTGTGAATGAACGCATGTAGAGGAAAAAAGAGAAAATAATTAGATTTGGTATTTAGTGCAAATAATTTATATAGCTAAAAGTAAACTTGCTTCGTTAAGTTTAATAATAAAACAGAAATCTTTAAAAATACAGATAACTCTTTAGTGGCGCTTTTACGTCGCAATGTGTAGGGTAAGTCCAGGATAGATGCCCCACTTTTTGAAACAGCTCTGTAACTCAGTCAGTAAGTTTTTATCAACAATTTGACCTTAGTATCTGTAAACTTCGGTCTTTCGTCTATGATATTACCATAATTATATTAGTTTAAGTTATACCGATTCTGAGTAAATACCATTTTAATTGACCTCTTAAAAGTGGGATAGACGCCTAATGTGGGGGATAGAAGACTCACTGTATGATTTCTTCAAAGGATAGATGCCTGATGCAGGGATAGATGACTCGTTAATACAGTTTTTGAATTCTAAGAATCAAAAATGCATTTTGAAATCAAACAAGCCAAGTATTATTACTTAAGACTGTTGACTAAAAATGAAATTTAATATTTTTATTAAAAATAATACATACATCCAACCCGAAAAACATAAACCTCCTTCTAGTGCAGTCGGGTAAAAAGGTTATTCGATCAGAAGGGCACCCTATTTATTACTTTCCTAAGGTTAGCCGTACTACATTCTTTTTTTCTTCTTACTTGCTACCTGTGACAAAAAGAGCAGGTTAGGATAGATGCCCCTAGGTGCATGGGATATGGCCCTAAGGGCATCTATACCCAAAAAAAATTAGGCAACTATCCTTTTAGCATAGGATTGGTGCCTTTTTTAATAAAAAATATAATAACACCAAAAATCGAATTAAACATAGCTATCCCGTATAACTTATAAGATAGTCTATCAAATTTTATAAAAATCTGCTTCATTTTGCAACTGACAAAAAAATTATCCATTATAAGATACTTACCAATATTATTTCGACGCTCGATAAGGTCTGGCCGCGGAAAATTTTTGCTCTCACTGGCTAAACGAACCCACTCTTTGATGGTTTGCGAGGCTCAAAGTGGTACGGGGAGGTCCCTTTCTATTATACGTACTATAACTTTAGGCTAAGTTGCTTGTAACATAGTAAATTTAAAATCGCGGCACCTATCCCACTGGGGCATGTATCCTGGAATTACCCTACATAATATTATTCTGTAAACCATTCAAATATTTTGTAAACACTTCATATGCCTTCTATTTATCCAACATTGGTGGGCCGAATATATTAAAAGTTGTAATAAAAATGTATACTCAAAAGCAAAAGTTTTTCGATTTGTACTTCAATCGTGATTTTCACACATAGCTATAGTCTTATTTTGTGCTATAATTAAAAGTCGATTGCGCCGTCGCGTAATTACTTGTTTTCGATAAGTACATAAATAATACAATTTTCGACTTTGACTGGTGTTTTAAAAAATCACGAAATAACAATATAACTCATTGCTATTTTCGATCGAGATTCAACTATTAAACTTTGTTCAAACTTTGATTTCATGAAAATGTGTTGGCATTTCACTGTTCAAGTTGGTCTATTAGGTTTAGACAACATCAGTCAGAGTTCGAAAGCTGTTATAAGTTCGAACTTTATCTACAACTTCTTATAAGACCTGAGGTTTGACTAGTCAAACCTAGCGCAGAATCTTCGATGTTTGACTATAACATACTTGTATACTTACTTCTTAAGTAAGTATACAATACAGTAAGGTAAAAAGACAGCGTAAGTTTATTAATTGCTTGATGAATATACATACTTTATTACAATTACTTAGTTATTAATAATATTAAGAAAACTAATAGCATAAATAACTTACAGCTAATGAAATATGAAAAAATCAATGAAACCAGAATTCGCTAAGGCAATTCGACACAATTCGCTTACAACACAAATTAATTATTAGCTCAGTTCAAACTCGCTCGACAAGAAATGACTTTTTGAATAGCCTGTACAATCTGTCGCCAGCAGTTACGCTATGAATAAGAAGATTAACAGTACTGAGTACTGCAAGGGTGTTTGCCGCGACTAGCACCGTGACAACTCAGCAAATTGGATTGTCCACTCAGTGCACTGCTTGGATTACGGATATAGTTGCTTTCCAATAAAAAAACATTGTTGAGCGGTAAATCCAATTTTTCAGAGCACTATTACTAAATGAAATCAGAAGTAAGATGCGGCATCAGTCCGAACTAGGAGATATACAGGGTGTTTGGTAAATGGGTATATGAGCCGACACTAGCCCATGTTAACATGGGCATATAAATGGTATGGTGAAGTCAGAAAATTAATATCTTCATTTTAACTATTTTAATTTTTATACAAATCGGAATTTATAAAATTTATTTTGTATGAAAATTTAAAAAAATAAAATGATGATATCAAATTTCTGACTTCACCATATCATTTATATGCCCATGTTCACATGGGCTAGTGTCGGCTCATATACCCATTTACCAAACACCCTGTATAACACTTATTTGTATGTATCATAGGAATTTCCCAATACTCGTGCACTAGCTCACTTGATGCGACATCTCAAAGTTCTACAATCTAATCTAGCAAGACACTATGCTAAGAAAGATACATCTTGCATTCACGAAATGACGTTTAAGTCTATTATTAATTGCTCGTGATCCTACGCACTCCTCCTACTAGTAATACCAGGAGTTCTTTTCCGTGATCTTGACAGAAATTTCAGTCTTTCCAATGGTCTTACTAAAATAAATAGCTCAGTGGTGCTGGTAGGGTCACGGCCAACTATATTTCTAATGGTTCTTATAATCAAAAGCCCAGTAGACTGAGTGGTGGGGTCACGGGCAAGTATTGGTTATACCATGAAACTGACCTTTGGATGGTGCAGCTTCACTGGCCAGATCAGTGGGCACCAGCTCATCGACAGCAGACGAGGTGGATGGAGCCGGCTGGTCTGGTGTATTAGTCTGCTGGATTTTGTGGCACACTTCGAAGGCTTGCCCCACTGTGCGCACGATCCTCATGGCCTGGCTCTGTGGAAAAAATGAAATTAAATATACCAGTACCTAATACTCGAAACATGACTTATCAACTTATGGATATGTATATTTTTCAATATAAATAAACAAATGTCCATGGATATTTTAAACTACGCTTCTAGTCCTAAACTAAGCAAAGCTTGTACTATGGGTACTAGACAACATATTTAAATACCTTTTTTTGTAAATACATACATATTATACACTCGCGAGCAAAAGTATGGAATTACTTACATGAAGTTGTTTCCACGCGATCTTGTGTACTAACGAATTTGTTAGGAACAAAAAAAGTGGCACCATTTTAAAGATTAAACTTTTATCTTTAAATTGATACCAAATTCATTTAAATCACNTCGATTCCAGTCAAATGACGATTTCATAGAGAGGTTGACATGAAAAAACGGTCTTCCCTCTGCGATGTGTGCCGGCGCTGTTCAGAACTTGGTCTCGGGATAAAGCCACCAGTCTCCCGAAAGCGTCTTAAAACTTTCGAAACCCAGGACTGGCTTATGTGGCGCTGACGTGCGACAGCCCGCTGGCTGAGCCCTTCTTGCAATAGTGCAACGATTTGTGCTGCTTCTGAAGGTGTAGAATCCCAGGTAAAGTGTCAAAAAAAGCGGAGATGTGCATGAATCAACATGTAAAAGCAAAAATCCGAAAACGCCTGCTTTTATAGGGGGTAAATAGGCCGCAACTCGCGACGTATCAAACAGTTCATACATGTCTTTTTCGTTACTTCTTCACATCAGCCGGGATATCTTTTTAAATACTGGTGTGATTTAAATGAATTTGGTATCAATTTAAAGATAAAAGTTTAATCTTTAAAATGGTGCCACTTTTTTTGTTACTAACAAATTCATTAGTACACAAGTTTGCGTGGAAACAACTTCATGTAAGTGATTCCATAGTTTTGCTCGCGAGTGTAGTAACACCCAGAGTCCCAGACCCATCACAGAAATTAAAATTCATCATTTCAGTTTCTGCCCGGCCGGGAATCGAACCCGGGACCTCTCGGCATAGTAGTCCATTCCGAACCACTACATCAAACGGCCGACAAAATATGAAGGGCTTTTTTCACGATCTCTGAGTAAAGTTTTGAGTAGGTACATAGTACGTTCTTCAATACTCAATTGTTTATTGCATAACCACATTAGCACATTCACAGTAGGTCTTTCAATTTAGGCAGTTATACTAGAATGTGGACACAGTCAGGGCACAGCAACTAGTTTAGGAAGGAGGCAGAACGACGATCTTAACAGTTTTAAAATAAATTAAACATACAGTAGTACTTTCTGATTAGTAGTGCACCAAAGTTTTGTCAATGTCATTCAAGACTCGTGGCTTCAAGCCTACTTGACACTTTACTCGGAGGTGGTGAACGAGGCTTCTCTTATACTTGATTAGATATAGCCTGAAAACTCATTCTAGATCAATACCTATTTATAGTCACCCACATTAAAATTTGATCTTAACGGACTAGCTTGTGAACGTCATGATGTGTTCCAAAATAATGGATTTTGTACGTCATCATTATCATTATTAATTCCACGATTCAGGCACAAAGGTCACCACGTCAACGTCTCGGCGCCGTCACGTAGTCTTTATTCCTGAACGATATTTCCAAACCCTTATTACGCATCGGCGATATTGAAAAATAGAATGTCGACGATTCGCGACGGAATCAAAATAGCATCGGAAGGAAAAGGGTGAGGAGGTGCGGGCAAGTGACACTTTACAAAGAGGAGATAAAGAGGGTCAGGGCGGCGCGGGAGATGACACGCACCTAATTAATGTGGGTCTCCGCCACAGTACAAGAGCTTCACTGGTTTACGGAACCTCGCACATTGGCCGAAAAATAACATCGGTCTAATTTTCTGGCACATACTAAGAAGGGTGAGTTGCACCATCTAATATAACGGTAACTATGACGATAACCGGTGCTTTTTGTATGGAGTTTGACAGAGTTTTGACGTTTGTTAAAGTTAAAGTTAAATGGTGCAACCCAGCCTAAAACAACATCGACCCGGGACGCCGGGTATGCATACTGCTCGGGACAATTCGTCTAAATTACAAACTTTGCACGAGACAATTGTCTTAATGAGAACGTAAACCGCATCAATCCGGGAAGTTTAAATTAATTTAGCTCTTTCATAAACATACAATAAATAAGTAAGCATTTGAATTTATTGCAAGGAAGTGCAAGCAATTTATGTTCAATCTTTAATGCACTAAAATGAGATAATAATGTATAATCAAGTTCGTATACATATTATAGTCAAACCTCGAAGTTCCGGCACTCCTAGGTTTGACTAGTCAATCCTCAGGTCTGACTAGAAGTCTTAGTCAAAGCCCAAACATTTCGGCCTTTGACTAAAGAATGTTAGTCAAACCTAGGAGTAACTAATTTGGTCAGGCAAACGTCGAAACTCAATTTGATGAAATCGGGGTTTGACTAGTCAAACCTCAATTAAGACTTTAAAGTAAACTATACTTCATTCTGTTCTGATATCCAACTTATTGTTTACACGAGCAGCTATCTCTATATGTGAAGGTACGAGTAACTAAACTTATTTACTGCGGTTGTTTATTAGTGTTTCTAGACCGATCTTGAAATTACAATTTTTTAGGGTTCTGTACCTTAGAGGATAAAGAGTTAAAACGAGACCTTATTACTATGATTTCGCTGAATTTTGACTGTCACCAGGCTCGTACTTATCTCATGAATCATTTTCAAAATATTTAATTATTTATTCACTTTAAAAATAAATAATTCGATAATAAATTAAATGTTTCATGGGAGCTTCTTTACAGCAAACGTGACTTTTTGAAGTTTTCTGCCCGATATTAAGACGTAAACAGGTGAACCCTTGAATATTCACATAATATTTAGTTTCATATTATCTACTTTAAAAATAAATCATAAAATTAAAATAAAATAAATATTTAAAGACTCCCATGCAACAATAAAAGAGTCGCACGGAACCCTTCGTGAGCAAATTCGACTCGCACTTGGCCGGTTTTCTATTAGCCGTCAACTTTTGACTGAGTCTGACAGTCGTTTCTAGGATTGACTAGGCAAAGCCCGATACAGGTTATTTAGGTTTCGACGTTTGACTGAATAGTTTAGGCACTTCTAGGTTTGACTTAGTCAAAGGCCGAAATAAGAATTCACTTCGGGGTTTGCCTGAAGGCCTTGGTCAAACCTAGGATAAACCTAAATTCCGCGAAGAGACTGCATATCGTCTTTTGACTATGACATACACAAATGAGTTTAAAATAGTGACCGTAAATATGTATAGATAAATACCTACTTACTTAAATTGCCTTTAACTTTTGAAACTCCTTTGCCAGAATAGAAACTGCACTGTTTCAATAAGATTTGACTCTTATATGTTTATACTAAACCTTTGCTAATAAAGTCATTTGGGAAGGGACGTTTGAGACACAACTACCTACTTACTTATTTATTAAAATGATACATTTTTTTCCTAAAAGTACTGAAACTGCAAATAGAAATAATGACGACCATTCCCATTTATATGGGTATGACATTATTTTATAAGATCTGAGAATCCATTGAGTGGACACAGCACTGAGACCTTGGACCGCCGCCAGAGATCGACAAGATATTCCTATACTTGTACAAAGAACCGAACGCTCAGGTAAAACTACGTTCGCGACTTTCAGCTCTATTGCTTTCGTTTTATACGTGATATCATCGCAAATTGTCTGCTGAATATTGTATATTAATTTAGTGCTGAAAGTATGAGAAAACGATATGAAGGGTCAAAGTTTAAACAATAACAATATTTACATTTACCGTTATAAGAAATTTTACTCAGTAAAATAATGGCAACAATAGAAAATCTGATTTGTAGAGTCGCAGGAAACTTGCTTATACTTATTATTTTCACTGCAGCCAACTAAGCGAAGCTTTTCTTGTGGTAACCAGGGAATAAATAATGTTTGTTTCCTTAGAAAACAGTTAAGATAATGCACACAAAAATATGTTTTGTGCCGCGGTCAATCAGCGATCATTGGCGCCCTAGTCGAGTTCCCAACTACTGTTCCAAATTAGTCATCAAATTGATTTATCAGCTTGCAATAAATGCATCAGAACTTAGGTGTAACAATATTATCATGAATGTACGCGTCGGTGTTTTTATTATTATCAATGAGGAATGCTGGACGAATACCTATCAAAACAAAAGCTCGTTGATTCAAGAGGATTTTATCATCAAAACAATTATGATACACATCCACACTTTATTATTACACTTCACATGCGAGTGCTAAAATCTATTTCAGTATACAAAAAGAACTGCGTGTTCTTTTTCTCGAGGAGCTTTTGTACATTTATTTTATATGTTTTATGATTCCCGTACGTAGGTAATTCAATACGCAGAGAGTAAGAAAATATTATTGTAAAAGAAGACTGTAACTTTACGAGAATTTTCGTATTCAATATTGTTAACCTTGGAAACTTCAGTGTAGTGTCAATTTGGTAGGTACAATCAATTCACGAAGGAGTATAAATAGACGTTTCTGCGGATTTTATCTCCTTTGGCAGAAAACTGGAGGTAAGCACGATGAACAACTTTCGACAATGATCGATGAAAGAAAATTCACAACACGTTCACTGGAATATCGAAATAATATTACACACCAATCAATAACTTCTGCAACTTTATTTAGTTTCAGCATTTTTATTGATGGTCTTGCTTATTTCACCGAACAAGTTTAACTAAACTGAAAGGGCTTTATTATAATTTAGAAGTGAATGGTAGCTATAATATTTTAATTATTTGGTATTAGTTTATTTCGTTATGCATATGAAACTTATAATAATTAAGAAGAAGTCAGATCGCACAAAAATAGGTAGGTACCTACATGATTAATGTTTTTATGGTAATTGAAAACCTTGTGATCCGATTCTCAAACTTAAGCACTCGTATTAATAATAAGTACTTAGTGCAAACCTACTCCTCAATAAAACAGGTGTTTTTCTCACGAAATACCGTTCCCGAGGGATATGTGATATTCCTTCTACTATGATATCCACCTGAACGAAGCCGCGGGCAAAGGAAGAATCTTGCCATAAATGTCATGTAACATCATTATTTTCTTTCGATTATTTAGTTTGCGTAACATTTTTTTTACTATTTAAGATACAAAGGCATTGAATATATACTAATTCATTTTCAGAACTAACGAAATACCTACCTGTCCAAAAAATGCGAAACTTCAAAAACACCTTTTCCATAGCTTCACGAAATAAACCTTTGAACTTCAAAGTTATAACAATCGGAGTTATTTGTTCATAAACAAAGTTAATAATTTCTTCGACCTTCGGAACAAAAATACCTCCACGCCAAACGTCACGTAGAGTAAGTAAAAAAAGTTAATAGCAATTTTGGGTTGATAAAGAAAGTTATTTTGGTAGTAAGGTGGAGTACAAAAAGGGCATTTCAATCACAACTTTATTAAAAGTTAGGCTATCTGAGTTTTTAATTCTATTTTGACAACTTACTTAACTACGGTTGTTAAAAAGTTGGTCAGAGTGAGACAATGACCTTTATGCGCGTATCATAATTTTGGCTACCTCACCCCGGTGGCCACGTCAGAATGCTATTTTCGTAGACATCGTCACTACACGGAGTGAGGTAAAAGAAATGCGGTTGGTTTGGTTAAAAGCTTTCATACGTGCCGGACAGGCTAGCACGCGGCGGCAATAAAGCACACGCGTGTTTATTACATGCACTCTGCTGATAGTAAATAACATTGTCTTAAAAGATAGTATCTTTTCTACACCAATTCAACCTGGTAAAATTATTAAAATGTCAGTTACACCAAAATTGTGAAGGAAATCTGAAAAGTTCACACCTGAAAATGTCCGTGTAATTGTAATTTTTTTAAAGCTAGAATTTTTTTACGTATACCATTCGAAAGAGCAGAAAAAACTAAGAAAAACTGTATATTTAACTCAAAAACCGTATTTTGTCAGTTACCCCAAGTGAACCTGCAACTGACGATACGCTGGATGACCATCATCACAAAAGGTACGACGAATGGTGACAACTTCGAGCAAGTATGAAGAAAAGTGACATCTTTTACCCATTTTAAGTCAACGTAGAGCGTAGTATGATCAAAAGACTTTTTGTAACTTCACTAGATCTTCCTTCACGATATTGGTTACGTCGAAATTAGATAGAACACGTTCATTAAATCTAAATATAAAATTCTGAAAATTTGCAGAAGTTTATAAAAGTTAAAAGAAAACAATACTCGTAAATTCTGCTTCTAAAAATTTTAATTGTCTTTGATCAAAAATACACTAATAGCGGTCTGTAGACTTAGCAACGATAGCGATATTGTAAAAATATGTCCCACTAGCTGTGCCCCGCGGTGTTACCCGCGGTAAAACGTAGCCTATGTGTTAATCCAGGGTGTCGGCTAACTCTATACCAAATTTTATTAAAATCGTTCCAGCCGTTTCACGTGAAGAAGTTGCCTTTATAATATTAGTGTGATTCTATGTTTGATCTCATCAGAAAAACAATAATCGCCGTTTGTTTTTGTTTCGTTGTGTACCAATAAATTTCAGGTAACAACGTTGTTTGGTAAACATTATACAGTGTTTACATTCATTATAGAGTTCCCCGAAGGGCGACCGAGTCCTGTTATTATAATTGGCAGTCGCTATAAGGTGAATTTATTGTAAGAGTTATTGCCACAGAAGTTATTGCTAACCTTGTATAATTTCTGAATGGGTTACAAACTCCAATTAGTCGACAAATATTTGTATTCGCGTTACGTTTACCCCATTCCCTCTATTTCGTTTCTATTACATAAATATTGTGTTGGATTAACTAAAACTTTATGGGTTAATAAAATGCTTTATTGTTAGGTGACATTTTGTAGCATTAAGGTAATTAATATGACTCTTGTCAGACGAGCGACATGTAAGAGACTGTGAAGAGGTCTGGGCGACACGTGACTTCAAATATATCGTAGAACATGACATTTTTCTTCTACGAGTACTACATGAAGTCAGGCAAAATCACCGCAATGCGCGACGCCTTCGGCGGGGCACATGTCAGTGTCGATAGAGCTTAAAGGCTCAAAAATGTCGAGCAAAAATAAAATTTTAAAATCCATTTTGTTGATGGCGCTAACGTGAAAATTCAGTGAGAAGCTGATCCTACTATCATGTTAGCGGATTAGTCGACTGCGTAAAAACTACGAATCACAATAAAAAAGCACAAAATATAACTTCGATATTTATACGAATATTTTAAATATTAGCAGCAGTTACGAATTCATATTTGTATCAATTCTAATTTGTAAAAACATACATAATATCATTGAAGTCTTGTAAAAATACAAGGTAACAACAATGTGAATTTATGTAATAAGGATTCCAAGAAAATTCTATTAGGGTAGTGTCAGTTCCTCTAATGTGCTAAGCTGCGTACCAAGAATATCAACATGAACAGTTGCACATCTTTTGTGTTAGGGCAGCTTGAATTACAATTTGGTTGTAACTGAACCTCGTTTTATTAGTCTAGATCCGCTAAAGCTTTATCTGCATTGTAGAAAAATAATTTTGAAGCTTAGCTATCTCGAACATCTTTTGCGGAACGGCAGCCTAAATGACTTAATTAATTGTTACTGAACATCATCTAATGAGCCAACCTTTTACAAGGTAAACAGGAAAAAATAACAGATTGTTCAACATAGAATTAACAGAAAGCCGATAGGAATGTTACAGGTAAATTCGTCAAGAAAACGTATAGATAGACCAGATATTCAAGGATTCGCAGAAGTTTCACCTATTGTAACTTTTCGTGGAATTAGAAGATGAAAAAATCCTTCGACATGGATAGAGTCCATTCAAATATTTACGTAAAAAACTAGGTCACTTTCAAAATAAAATACGCATACCAATGTCCGTAAATTGAAAAGTGTAAAAAACGAGCCCTTCTGTTTACTGTAAGAATGAATATCCAGTTTGTAACGTCACTAGAATTATTTTAGTTGTTTTTGTGTACGAGTTGCGTCTAATATAATTAATGTGCTGGTGAAGAATGCATCAGTAAGTTTTGCCACAATATTTGCTTTATTTCACTCCATTAGCACTTGTGTGTTGGTCTAACGCGTAAACTGTACGCAAAAGAGAATTAATGGTGGCTACCAAGACCGTTTCAGTAATACCGCGTATCTCACCGCGCCGCGGTTCCAAAATATCTCGTCATACAAACAGAACCAGTTCACTAAAGTTTTCTAAATAATAAATGAAACCGACGACGGAAGTATCGCCTTTGACGTAATAAGCGAATTAATACGCAGAAATGTCACTGGAGAGTTTGATTTATAAAAAGACTATGGCTTCCGTACACTGGCGCCAATATTTACTAATATTATAACTGCTAAATTAAGTCTGTCTGTCTGTTGCTTTTCAGGCTTAAAGACCTGAAAAGATTTAGATGAAATTTGGTATTGAGATAGTTTGAGACCCTGGAGGCTGGATAATACAAAGGATATTTTTAACCCGGTTTTCGAAAGGGAGACGTGTGCAGAGTTAAGTCTTTTTGTGACAGAACGTAATGCACGCGAGCGAAGCCACGGGCCGTTGCCAGTCACTGAATAAACACGAAGCCGGCGAAGTTAACGTTCCGTTTAATTATTTATTCCGTTGACTTTTTCAGTATGATTTTAGTTGGGTGTTGATCAAAGACAATCGTTTAATGAAATATAGCTCGGCACATTCTATGACTAACATAATGCTTAGTTACGGTTTATATTAATATTCAGGTAAATACCAGGCCGTTGCCAGAAAAAAAATTGGAGGGAATCTGGTGTTTCTATTAAATGTTTACAGTTTAATTTTGGAAGATTGTTCATTATCTTCATCATTTGGTTCATCATAGAACATAACAGAACTAAAGTAATATAACAGCACTCTAAGCTGTAACATTACAATGTTACCTTCTTTATGAATAAACATTTCGCAAACAATGTTTACAGTAGGATACTTTTTATTCTATTGTGTTTCAGTGCTGAAAAAGTTATGCCACAGAATTATTACGGGTGTACAAATAAATAGTTGCGAGTTGAAATGTTCACATACACTCGACATCAAATAAATCGCACCTCCCGCGACAAGCATTTTCAAACGTATGCATCCCCACTTCCCACCAATATTGGCACCATTTAAAAGCCTAGTTCTAACCTTCATTTCATTGAAGGAAAGGTTTTTACCCCAAAAAATGTGTCTTTAGAAGGATACAGAGTCACTTCTTCAAAAAATAGGTAGTTACGCTAGAGCCAACTTTTATGGCTATAAGACTGTTAAGTTGGGATTAATCGCTATCCATCTGTTAAAGAGGACACGTGAGATCATTATTTGGTTTTATAACCATAAAAATTGATCTCATTGATCCCATAGGTGGGCCCAAAGTGAGGTATTTTTTCAAGTCACATTTATGGTATATGTTAATCATTTATTAAGAAATTAAATGTGTTTTTCTTTAAGGATATTTATTGGGCTTTCAAATAACACCAATATTGTTGGGGCACCATGATTGTGTCAGAAGAAAATCGTTAAAGTTCGCGTCGCGGAAGGTGCGGTTTATTTGATGTTGAGTATAGTTGTAAAAATATGAAAATTATTTTAGTTAACTTATGTCTGCATGTTAAATTTAGAAGCCCTATGTATTAGTTAAGTAGGCTAAACTGCGTACCTCTAAGTCCGAATCGATTCCTTCCAGGGAAGAATGTGTTTCAGGACGTAACGACATCATATTCGGTCTCCTCGTTAAGCTGTTTACACCCATAAGCTTGTTGGACCGACCTACAGTTCCACCACCGTTACCTGTAGGCACAATTTCAGGTTCACGAAATGATAACTTTTTACGTGGTCTCTCACTACCATCTTGCACATGGATATCTTGACTACCCAATCTTTCAGAAACAGGAATCACTAATCGAGAATGCACGGATACGTCTTCAGCCGATTCAAAATGTCTTTGACCTATAGGAGATACATCATTCGGAAAACTGCCACTTTCAAACTCATTTACTTCTTCATATCGCTTAACAGCACCAACTGATAATGGTCTTGGTTTGGTCTGGAAATCTCGAGACAACCCATCGTCGATTCGACTCCTGTGTTTGGATTTACGAATTTCACTAAATTCTGGTTCTGATCGGCTGCTTTTAAGTCTGTCGTGTTTCTTCTTATCTTTTGTATCTTGTTTTGTTAACTTAGGTCGAAGTTGTTCATTTTTTGGTTTTAATGCACCGCTTAAAGAAACAAGTGTGCTTCTTGCTTTTAATAATACTTCTGTGGGTAGACTCTTCAACAAGTGGTCATTACGACGTTGTTTTGGATCTCTTTGGCTGGACATTGTCATTTATCTTGATTTACACGGCAGCTCGATTCGAAGTTCGCACCCGATATTGCGCGGTAGCGACGCACGCGCATCACACAGCGTTTCACGAAACAACTGGAGTGGTCGCGGCATAGTGAGAGCGTACGACTCGCGTCGCTTCAAAGACCGCAAATAAACATTCACGTACTTTTGGGAATCGTGTGAGAATACGTCAAGACTACTTATTGGTCACGCCTCACACACGGTTGATAGCTCCCGAAGATACAAATACATTACGAAATGGAAACATAAACTTGGACGAAAACATAAATGAAAGTTTACGACACGACGCTTCGGAAGCCAACTACAATTGTAACATAAGCCGTTGAATACCATAAAATGTTCTGACTCAATATGTTATGAGCTGAATTGAAGAGCAATGAAAGCGACCCACCGGGATTAATATGTTGTAATTAGTTAGACCAAAGTTGTTAATATGTTTACACCACCTTAATCTTCTAAATCTGCAAAACTTATTTCCCTGGCGTACGAACTTACTTTACCTTTACCAGTAATATTTACCTAGTCTCGTTAATGTAGTTACAATGTTATTATTATTACCTTCTAAGAGAGAAACAAAATACCTACGTAAGTATAAGACTCGTCTATCACAGAATTCATAATTTAATACTAATATAATAAGAAGTAGTATCTAGCTAGTAATATAAATTAGTATCTACCAACCTTGTTTTTAGTTGTCATTATCGTTGGTCCAAGACGAAGAAAATAATTATAATTAGCTCATAATTACATGACAGTTGTTATTTTTGTGTAGAAATATTTTTGTTTAAAATTATTCTTAGTTAGGCATACTGTCTAAACGATAATTCTGCACGTGCAAACTCTGAGTTGTTATTAGAGAGCGTGTAAAGAAACCGCAGTCGTAAGCTACGACTCATAAATTACGATGTAATCAATTTGGCGTAATTAAAAAGCACCTCGGACGGCTTAATACAAACAGTTCTGTTACTTCCTGAATATTTATGGGCTTCGAAAAGGAGTGATCGGCGACTGTAATTGATTATAAAAGTCGGCAGCTTGTGGAATAGAAGATTTATACAGACCATAAACAAGAGTAACTCGCAGTTACACGTTTGTTGGGATTACATACGTAAAAACTTTGAAAGATACAGGATACAATTTACGTGATTTCGTTAGATTTTTGTTAATTTAGTTCAATAGCTCTTTTAACAATTATTGTTGGGGTCATCTATCCAATAATGATAAAAAATTGATGACTATTTAAACACAGTTCATTATATCTAAACTTTTTCTTTTCGTCAAAGTGAAAAGTAAGTAGGTAGTAAGTAATACTTACTTTTCACTTTATTTTCATTGTTAAATAGACAGACAAAGATTGCAAGTACCTACTGTATTTCGGCTCTACAAAGGGACTTTAAAACTGTACTGAACAATAGGAATTCAAATTATTTAAGACTTGTAACAAGAATGTCATGCCATCTCATTGTAAATTTCAAGATTGGAATTCTACATACAGTAATGTAACTTTACGACTCCACAACTTAAGTTTCCACGTGAGTAACTTTGTAACGTACCACGAGCGCCTTACTATTATGTTTTGTATGTACCTACACGAAGAGGGATGCTACAGAAAAGCCATTCATTGTTACTAAGAGTAGATTAAGCGTTTTGGATTGTAACAAGTTGTTGGAACAAAGGGAAAGTTTCGGTATCAGAACAAAGTTACCCTTTCAAAACGATTACTTTTCAAGACAAAACTTTATGGCGCTGAACGTGTTAAAGCATTAATAGATCGTAACATTGTCAAAGTCAAATTATACACCAATCTATATCGCTCACTGATTAATCACGAAATCTCAGAAATTATAACACCTAAGAATTTTAATGGTTTAGATATCCGCTAAAAACGGATTTTACAAAACTTCACGGTATAACGGGGTCCACGCGTACGAAGTCGCAGGCGGCCGCTAGTAATAACATAAAATCTGATTTTACAGTTCTTATTTTTAATCTTATTACCCCATATTACAGTGGGTAGGTGTTTCGTCTTAAGATACAAAGTTATCTACAAGATAAGAAACATAACAGAACTCTGCCAAATCAAATCAATGCTCATTAAAGCATTTCTGATTTTATTTGAATAGAACTTTGTAAAGGACTGTTTACACTAATTAGTAACATCTTAATAGCCTAAAACTGAACAGTAACTGAATAGATTTCTAGCAATTTCATAAGCCCCACATTGCTTTGTAAAAAATATTGGTATTTTCTACGTAGATACCATACCATCGTACCTACTAAGAGTATTGTGTACCAATAAAAAATTAACAACAACGCTAGCAAAATTCTTATATAAATCACATGACTAAAGAAGACGTCATAAGGCTAATTTTACACAATCTTTGATGCTAAGGATGTGTAGCTACAGGGCAATATTTCAAGAGAATGTGATGTCATTTATGTCGCATGGAGATATTAAATATTTTCTGATTAACCAATAGATCGCTGCGTCACGGGCGGCTTTGATCTCAGTTTTATTTATCACTAGCGGCCGCCCGCGACTTCGTACGCGTGGACCTCGTTTTACTCCATTAGGGGTAGAGTTTCGTAAAATCCGCTCTTAGCATCTATAGCGCATACATTTTAAATTTCAACTCTCTTACTTTAAACACATAGGACTTTCATAATATAAACTTCCTACATGTAATATTTAGTTACTAATTTACTAATGATGTCGATAGATGGCGTTTGACAGCTTTGCCTTCATGAATATTTACGTACCTCAAAAATGTTTGTCAGGCGCAAGAAGATTTTAACCAATGACGATAGATGGCGCTTTTCCACGTCTTATGAAAATCCCAAATATTTTACGGGACCCTATTATTTTCCAAAATAAAATTTAGCCTATGTTACTCGTGAGTTATGTAGCTTTCGAATGGTGAAAGAATTTTTAAAATCGGTCCAGTAGTTTTTGAGCCTATCCATTACAACTAAACAAACAAACAAACAAACAAACAAACAAAGTTTTCCTCTTTATAATATTAGTGTAGATTTACATGAATACTATAGTTACTTGTATAAATCTCACGTTATTGAGAGAAGTACGAGTATCAAAATATTCTTACACTTTAGCTGTGGGCAGCTCCGGCTTCACTAGTGTATAAATTATAACCAATCAGTTTTTAGAGTATTTGTCCCAAAGCTTTTTGCAGTATAACTGACGCAGCCGAGTAGTTAAATCAGCTATTTAATTGAGCGGATAAGCTCGTTTATTAAATTTAATGTCTAGGCCGATGGTTGAACGAACTAGAATCACTTAAAGTTTAAAGCTAGCCTTTTGGATATAGCTGAATCAAAAGCTACGTTGTGTTTCAATGTTAATTTAACATTGGACAATCTGAAACGTAAGTAAAATACTCATAAAAAAACTCTTATAAAACTCATTTATTTTTGCAAATAGGCTTTTAAAAAGCACTTTTAAACGTCCCAGTATTAACCCTACCACTGCAGTGAAATGGTATGATGGATGTTAAATAGCACGAAACAACTAAATACATTCTTAATTATATTCCTATAAATATTTTTTCAACATAATAGTACAAAAAACACTGTCAAAGTTCTAATACGAAAAATATATATTCATGACTAAAGCGTAGGTGAAATTAAACGAAATATTTTGTTACAAAATTGTTTTAGAAATGATGAAAGTTGATTCAGTTGTAAGGTTCTCGTGATACCTGATACATTTTTTATTGAAGATGTCTTAATTTAATTTTTAATTCGATAATTAATCTAAAACAGACATAATATAGGATTAAAAATATGCGGAAAACAAAACACGACACTTACCCTACGCAATAAAAAGCGGCAGGCAAATAAATAGGTAGGTAGGTACTTCAATCAAATCAAAACTTCACAAAGTTTAAGGATTCATCTTTAATCTTTGAATTCTCTTTCGCCCTCATTCCAGATTGTATTTTATGAATTTTGTTAATTCTGTTTTAGATTTTATTATAAAAACGGTTCGAGGAATTTTTAACGAGTTTGTAAACAGCGGTCGATCTTACGCTCCTTTGGGAGATGCTTTCCTAGAGTTAGATGCAATTTCTTCTAACAAGATTTTTCACCGATAATAGGGCAGGTATCTAGAGTCACGTAAATGAGGAGGATTTTAAATTCACGATAACAACCACAGTGAACTATGATAATATTCTGAGGTAAAAAAATGAATTTGCCTGTAATACTGTTGCACTTGGGAACCAAAAACACGTCATGTAATTTTTGAAGCACAAACAATCTCGGAAATTTTGATGCGTGCACATAATTGTAGTTATGTTCCACGATCATTATGGTCCAGAAGTTCCAGAACTGTTCGTTTGGGAATCCATCTCGCATCAGGAACATTTATTAAGATTAAGATAAAAATCCTCGAATAATCTTTCGTCGACGCGTCTTTTTCATCGTTTCCTTATTTTTTAAGAACGCGGTGTCTCTCTCGTGGTCGCGTACCGTACCGTATCCGTACGAGTGACGTGCCAGATGCGTTTTACGACCGCCAGTGTTTATGAGGCACTGCTATCTTCATAACCGTATCACTGTCACCAGCTCTGGAGAGGTTAAGGTATATTCACATCTCTATGTCATGCATTTTTGTATGACACAAAGTACGGGTTTAATTTTTTTCGTATTGAAAAAAAGTTGGTAGTCGTGGGTGATTTGTTTCGCTGCACAAGATGGTGGGTGAGCGCAGAGGGATTTCAATTTCTAAAAAGCAATGTGCCTAAGGGTGACCTTTTATCGTAAAAATAGCAAACACCCACGTATAAATGTGAATATATTTTGACACGTTTTCATCAATTCAATAAATTCAATAGTCAATTTATTATCAACTAGCTTTCCGCCCGCGGCTTCGCCCGCGTGGAATTTTGTCTGTCACAGAAAAACTTTATCGCGCGCGTCCCTGTTTCAAAAACCGGGATAAAAACTATCCTATGTTCTTTCCCGGGACTCAAACTATCTCTATGCCAAATTTCATCAAAATCGGTTGCGAGGTTTAAGCGGGAAAGCGTAACAGACAGACAGACAGACAGACAGACAGACAGACAGACAGACAGACAGAGTTACTTTCGCATTTATAATATTAGTTGGGATAAACAGCCAACAATATTGTTAACGGCATATCAAAAGAACAGTTTTTTTTTATTTTCAAAAAAGCACAATCGTATTACAATTAGTTACACAGTGTTGCATTTCATACCTACTGTATATCTCTTTAAGGTTCTTTACAAGTTATAAACCGGAACCCCTATTTATGATCACTCACGTGCATATCTTTTTGACCATCTGTCACGGGAAAACCGTAATTTTCCGGTTTGTCATTGAAACTTCTGTCAATAAACCTAGATTCATTTTCTCATTTCATTTATGATTTCTGCGCTCATTTTTTTCTTTTTACGAGTAATTTATTTCAGATTATTATGTACCGGCTGCTCTCAACTAGGTACTCGGTACTTTTACGAGTTGAAGCAATTTTCATAAAATGTCAGCCAACAGGAATCGAGTAGGTAACAAATAATAAATATGCAATGTGAATATGGTAACGTAAAAATGTTATATTATTTTTCATCTACATTAAAAATTACAATCAAACTCGTTAAAAATATTTACAAAGTGTTTTAAATTTACAATAATTCTGAATTAATCTAATAAAAAGTTCTAAAGGAAATATCGTAACAAACAATTAAAATTAATTTAGCACAGATAGAGACGTATTCTGAGTAACACAAAATAAACAAAAGTTAAGCGGAATAATATCGTAATTAAAATTACGAGTTCTCATTAAAATTGTATGTTGTTAGAGGTCCCACAGCAGGGTGAGCGGTCAGATTGTCTTTATACAGCTGTGCGGCAAATATGGACAAAGTATTTTTAAATTATTTGACCCTAGCTTTGCCTTTGGTTCCACCTACGGGTTGGGGTTTCACAGGGGAGTGTTTTTAGCCTTTGTGATTCGAGATCTTGTAACTGTGTTCATGATAAATGACTGTAACACATGAAAGGTCCACTAAAATGCTATAGGTAGGTAGGTCTCCTTTTTACTTTATTTTGAGGTTGTTCTATAATTTTACAATGTTGTCTCTAGGAATACTTACTGAGAAATTATGTTCCCCGACAAAAGCTAGTGTTTTGATTCCGATAATTTTTTAATAATTAAAGGCATAAAAATATTGCAATGGAATCTCAAAAACCGTTGGTAATAAACTTGAAATTTAAAAATATCTCTACTCTGGACTAACCGGGCTGAATAATTACCTCTCACCAGGTAACTGAATTAGAAAATGCCAAAATATTTTTTAAAAACGGGCGTTTAGGTAGTGAGCGTAGGTAACTAAAAATTAGGGACGCAAATTGCCACGAAGTTAAAAATAAATCCAGTTTACTGCGCAAACATGTAATATTCGGAAAGCTGTTTTTAAATGGATTTTAAAATCCTCTGAGGGCTTGTCGTAAGCGTTGGAAATGTACCCGACATTAAAATTGTATGTTAACATTCGAAAGAGGTATTTGGCAGTGTCTGCTTACGACTGAACGGGAAACATTTTCGATTCAATTTAAAGGATATTCCATTAACAGAGCATTAGTTCAATCGTATGGAATGGATGGAGCTACTCTTAGTATTTGATTTTAAGAATAAATTGTAGAAAGGCCTGAAAAAGAAAAGTAGTAAGTAGGTATGTTTGTGATAAAAAAAATTTTGTTCACACTGAAAAATTCAGTTGAACATACACTTTACTGTTCTCGGGTGAAAATAACAATGTAATCTAGAAACATGTACAGCAGAAGTTTCTAGGATTGCCCATTTGAAATGCATGCAATCATTTTAAGAGGAAAGCAACTTCAGCTGTGAAAATTGATATTTACATTTTCAACGGAAAAATGTTATGACACTATGTGAAAAAGAACCAGCAAGGCACTTTATTGTATTACTTAAACTTCGTTTTTTTAATATAACTTGCTTAACTACGCAGCTTTGCTCTGAGATTTCGGTTTAATACTGATTTTTTTCCAAATATCACAAGTTTTTGCACGGACCCCTAATACTTTCTCTTTACTACTTGAAGAATCATTAAAAGTCCCGTCAAAATATTAGCTTACAAAAGATTAGCTGGAATGAATAAGACTGACTGACACTTTGGTCTTTTTACTACGCATTTTGTAAAAAGCTTTTATCTTCTGATAAATCTTATTTAGTCTAATAAAAACAACGAATCAAGTTATGAAAAGAAATTAGAACTTTCTGTTTACATTTTATCTTGAATGTCACCTGTTGTAAACTGTTACCAAAGTAAAATAAAATAGTCGCAGAAAATCAGCTCTAAATCAAGGTGGAAATAGCTTGTAACGAGGGGTATCGAACAAGAGAATACACTTTTTTCTTCCATTTCCTTCAATGCTGATAAAATGTCAGCAAATAAAACTCACAACTGGCGGTTGCTTGCAAATATTTAGTTCCATCTAGTAGCTTCTTCTTCTTCTTCTCAGCACTGGCCCATTTATTGTCCTGAAGCAGTGGTAGGGTTAATACTGGGACGTGTAAAAGTGCTTTTTTAAAGCCTATTTGCAGAAATAAATGAGGTTTATGAGTTTTTTATGAATTTTAGTAAATTTTTAAATTTGAATTGCGACGATGGCCCAATGATGTCGATGTCGGGATTCGAGGAACGCGAGTTCGAACCCAGCTGCCGCTAGACTATTGCAGCTTTGCATTTAGCTCACTAACGGNATCGTATACTGCACAAAGTAACAACCAAAATAGCTGCTATGAAATCGCTTTACATAAACATGCTTATTTCTGAGGAATAATATGGGGACATCGCATAGTAGCATTTCCAAGAGTTGTTGATTTGTCAATTTGATGCTCTGTCTGTCAACAATGATAAATGTCAATTGTGGTTACGTTTCGGTCCACGATCGCCACTTAATAGATTTCAAAAATAAAAAGTATCACCTTTAAAATTATTTTTTAATTAAATAAAAATGCAAGCATTATTTTTTTTATATGATAAAACGAGATTTATGTATAATAGAAACTAAAAATAAACTGTTGTATGTTAAGTTGATTGAGTAATATTTCCATAAAAGACAATACATAACCAAACGATGCTGCGTGTAATGGATAAAAAACGTAAAGTTATCATTTGTGTAAATGAAAACATACTTTTTTTGGTAAATGTTGCCCTTATGTAAACATTTGAGAGCTGCTTAGCTGATCACGGCTTCAAATCCGTTGAGTGGCGTTTAAGAATACCATTTAAAATTGAAGGATACTTAAATTTAGGAGCCCGTCAGCTGAGTGACAGATTTGAGTAGTGTTTCAGTATTCGGCCGTAAGGGTGGATTCGACCAAACAAAAATAAATATTAATCTTAGAATAAATCGTCAGTTTTGAAGAAAAGTAAATCATAGAAAACCTTTCGTTTTAAAATGCTACGAGTATCGCGAGCTCTGATCCAAGTAGGAATTTTATTATCTGCTAATTGGTCAATCGACCTACCTATAGGTATGGACCACACCAGTTCAAGCTCATCACAGTGGCGTCTTATCTCCTTGTAATACGGGTTATTTTGCAACCAAAATGTTTAATAGTCTGTGCTTCTATACAAAAGGAAATATCATAATGAAAGGAGCAAAAATAAAGATATAACTTTCTTATGCGAGTTTAAGGTAAGATTTACTCGTCACGTTGAACTCGTTTCGAGAAATCGTCAAAAGAACGAACGTTCGCACGAACGTTTCCGGCCCACCGTAATCATTCACGCGATAAATGGCTTCCGTGAGCTTTATATGCCTTCTTACAGGTCAAACCTTTTTTTTTATATGAACAAAAGTATCCAGAATTACTTAAAACAATCTAAGGTGGACATGACAACATCTACTAAATGTAATTAATTAAAAAATCAATAAAAAAACTTAATATAAGTCACTTACAATCCTATTCACCTATCTTTGTATACTTTTAAAATGTAAATTTTATACGTGTCACAATTTGTGAAAATAACCATAAAAACACAAGTTAATAAAAATAAATAGGTACCCACTGAGTCTAGTCTTACCCTAGAGCTCTAGCTAGATAATTGATTAAGGTATTGTGTCAGCTTATCCGCACTCTGAAGAATTAAGCTCTTTTGTAGTAAATCCCAACTAATATTATAAATGCGAAAGTAACTCTGTCTGTCTGTCTGTCTGTTACGCTTTCCCGCTTAAACCTCGCAACCGATTTTGATGAAATTTGGCATAGAGATAGTTTGAGTCCCGGGAAAGAACATAGGATAGTTTTTATCCCGGTTTTTGAAACAGGGACGCGCGCGATAAAGTTTTTCTGTGACAGACAAAATTCCACGCGGGCGAAGCCGCGGGCGGAAAGCTAGTACACTATAAAAATAGCTCGTAGAGCTAATAGACGTTGGGGCAGAAAATTCTCGTGTGCTGACTACGCACCGAAAGACGTAATGTAGGTAGCTGGTGACGTAATCTGGGTCTATCACTCGTTGGAGGGACATTCTAGTGAAAGCACCAGGATGCGGGCAGAGCAGAACCGGTCATTGTCGAAATCCTTAGAGACCTTTGTCCAGCAGCAGTGGACGTCCTTTGGTTAAAACTAAGAGTAGGCGCACACCGTTGATTTTTAGTTGGTCGATAGTTGTGCCCGATTTTAATTTGTATGAAGAATCGGTCAAATTGAATCGGCGTAGTGTGCGCACTCACATACATGCCCATACTGATCAACTGCCCGACTAAACTATCGGCCGACGAAAAATCAACGGTGTGCGCCTACTCTAACAAACAAAAGCCACTAACCTTCCTGTTGCTTTTAAACACGTTGCATTTAAAGACGTTGGTGGCGCCATCTCTAGCGATGTACGAGAAAATCTTCAGGTCGGAGCTGTCGTGGGACACGTAGAAGATGCGGTAGATCGGGTGGTTCATGATCTCGATGCATTCGCTGCTGGTGCTGTTTCGGCTGCTGCGATTGAACAGCATCGAGCTTGAGCTCCGCTGTAAAAGGCAATAAGGTGATAAATGTCCTGACATTCCCGACTATATAGGAGTATATATAGGAGCTAGAGTCGAAGTAAAAGCACACGATGCGTTACGGCGAGATGCGACGCCGGAGCGGTGTCGCTGCGCCGTCTTACATAATATAAATAACTGTGGCAGGCATACGAGCGGTGCGGCCGCGTGCGCGGCTTTAGGTATTTCTCGAAGCGCAGCCATTTTCAAGCGCACCTAATGATGCGCACCTAAATATTCCGCGAAGCACACCTTTTAGTTGCGTTAAGTACCTACCAAAAATTTCTCGGACACTATTTCGGTAAAGTATCGACTTGCGTGCGAAAGAAGGCAAAAGTTGAATTAGATTCAAGAAGACATTCATGAAAAGGCGCGTATTGGGAGAAGCCCATGTCCTGTTTAATTTGAACTAATTGTGGTGTGTTTTTAAGATTTAATGATGAACACATTGAAAATTCAGCTGAAAATATGTCAACTAGAGAGGGCTAAATAGTGCAATATGAGTGAGCCACTTGATTATAGAGTTAATTAATTACACAAGCAATCCCTTATTTCAACGTATCATTGTCACAGTCGTGACTGTACAACTGGCAAATAAAAATAAATGATTGTTCTCAATTGAGAGCAGATTAATTAAAAATAAGTAATTAATTAGCTAAAGCTCTCGGCTATACATGCTTTGCTTTGTTATGACCCTGAGCCGCGTTTTATTATGCTTCTGATCTTTTGTTCAAAGAACACAATAAATTTAATTAACTACAAAACGGTTACTATTATTTTACATTTATACGGAATGATGAGCATTTTTCGCATTTAAGTCAAGATCAATTAGCTAATTTCAGACGTATTTTTTTTAGTCTATCTACGAGTTATTCTGAAACTACGATAGAGGTAGTTGAAATCTCTATAATTAAAAATGACAATCGATTAGTAAATACTAGATTTTAATTTGTTAGTAATAGTGGTAAAGCCTGGTCCGCGCGTCGCACAGTCGCGACAGCAATATAATTACGCGCGAGCGATAAGGATGGGTAGCTTGGGGTCATTGGACGGGATTCTACGTGCTCACGGACCAGGCTTTAGTAGGTAACAAGGATTTCACGTAACCAAGTAGGTACTCAAATGTTAAATGCAATGAAGTAGAAAATAAAACAATAGGTCTAGGTGGTTACAAAAGAGATCACATCCCTAGCCAGAGTTTATGATCCGCCATAGACTTCGGAGATGGCTCATTCAGACTGGCGGCTTAACGTGCAGTCAGTCAAATAAAAGCTATAAAGTCAGTGTAATAAAAGGTGAGAGTATTAGATTCGGCACACTTTAGCAGATAGGTAGAATACCACCTACAAAAGAACCGCAAAACGCTGGGATGATCATATGAATTCGCTATTCTATTATAGGGTTGCTCCACACGTTGGCTCCAATATTGGTCCCAATGTTAGTGCTTCTTGTCCTACGTACGAAACTAGAAAATAGTAGTATCTATGTTAAATAAATAAATAAAATATTTATTTCATAAAAAAAAACTAGGTACAGTCACGGAATGAAAAGGTTCGTCAGTTTTCAAATTGATTCCTTCAACGAATCGCGAGCACATATTACCTTTTGAAACTATGTTACAGAATAATCTCGAGTTAGAGAAAATAATCTTTAACTGTTCGTCAGTAAAGTTCAAAATTATTCAGATCAAAGTTGTTTGACGATTATCTTGTCAAGAAGATTATTATGATTGATAAACTAAAACCTTCTTATTGGTTCAACCTGCCATTATTATTTCTATTAAATAAAAAAACTATTGTCAATTGGTCAATGTCATCATTGCATTGCACTGATGGGATAGAAAAATAAACAAGCAAAACCTTATTCGTTAGCAAACGTCATTTTATTTAAATGTTAGCAGCACTGTTTCTTGCACTGTTATGTTGGCAGGTTTGACTCTTACAGTACTTAGTGCAAGCGAAAACCGACACTAAGGTGACGAACCTTTTCATTCCGCGACTGTACAATACAAGGATCAGCAGTAGTTATTGCACTAGGCTCGCAGACCTGTATCGCAATAACTATAAGTGGGTTTACAAAGGATTTACTTTAACTTGGGACAAGCTATTTTCTAGATTCACACCTTGGATTAATAACTTTGGGACCAATGTTGGAGCCAACGTGTAGAGCAGCCCAAAGCTCATTCACTAGACGCACCCGCCTCAGTGAACGCGTCCCAATAAGAAATAGATCTCAATTAGCCCTGTGCTTGAAACGTAATTACAAACCATCTCCTGGGTGCCAATAACAACATGAGTATACGATTCCTTGGGCTTCCGCTCATACATAATCCATTTGGAATAACTTTCGACAGAGCGCGTTCTGTTTACATTATTCTACTGTGTCGGGTTTAGTTCGTTACAAGGCACTAAGCAATGTTATTCGTTTGTGAAACTATGTATTTAATTCATAGCTATATTTTCATAGTTGTGGTTGAAAGTAACTAATCATCTATCCACAAATATAAAGAGCATTAACCGCTCTTTTATTTCAGTTTTCTAGCACAGGTACCTAAATAAATTTAATAATGTTCACGTATTCGGTTCGGTTACCATTATTTTCTCGTTTATCCCGGGGCCAAAAAGCTGCCTTTATCCGAAATAAGTTTGAAACTTTTCATATTTCTTTTACCTTTGTAACTTTGAGGTAACAAAACATTAGATTTCCCCAGAGATTGGCTAGCTACATTGCTCAACTTCATGGTTGTGATCGACCGAAGTCACCTCGAGTGTGAATATGAATGGAGCTATTGAGTGGGCCTCGAAAAAGTTTTCAATTTAACTCTGCCTGCGGGGTTAAAAGCTGCCAATTTTTATTGGAATATCGTGAGGAAGGGATAGATAAACCTTTTAAGCCGTTTTAATGCAATAGGTAGGTAGGTACATTTTGCTGGGACAAAGTGGAAATGCCGTAACAGCGTTACGGGGGATATAACACGGTTACCCAGCGTAGTGTGTTTTATACATACGTTGATTAGACAGAGTGTGCCCTTTTAACGAACAATATAACTATCTGTGTTTTTTGAATAATAAATATCCTTGGACATTTTATACTGCGCTTCTAGTCCCAAACTAAGTAACTTTACTTTTTTGTAAATACCGACTTATTAAACATAGAAAACACCCAGTCCAATCATCATCATCATCATCATTTCAGCCACAGGACGTCCACTGCTGAACATAGTAACCCAGTCCAATACAAACAAATATTTTTATGCACACAAATATTTGTACTGTGCGGGAATCGAACCCGCTACCTCCGGAATAGTAGTCCGTTTCGAACCACTACACCAAACGGCCGACGAATTTTTGTATAACTAATAGATTTTGATATGTACGAGTATCATACAGTTTGGTTATCTATGTATACCTAAGCGATTACGTTCAGTTTGCCATCCTCTCAATTTACTTAGTGCATACCATAACAATTATTAGTTTTAATACCCAATTTCGAGACTACATACAAAAAGCATTATCGATAACTCTTTTTAAAACTGCATTGATATAATTTCATAGGAACGTGGTACCGAGTTTCACATATCCGACGAGTAATGCATTAAGGTTCCGGCCTCCGGTCGATTGACTAATGGATCTTCCCGGAACGTAAAATGTTTTTTAAAACAATTATAAGTAGGTATATTTTATAAACAGGATCATCTACTCAATTATGTTGAATAGATATGATAGCTCAAAAGGACAAAGCGTTTTTAAATGTACTTGTACACATTCTAACAAGTAAAAATATTTGCATTTGCGTCACCATAATGTTTACTTATGAAAGGATACATAAATGTATTTGGACTTCTTGAGAATCGAAAGGTACTGTTTATTCTGATTAAAAAGTAAAATGCGATATAATCTTCTTGGCATGATTTTTTTACGAGACATTTACTCGTATTTGGGTGAATGGTATAAAATCGTTGTTTTACCTATCTACTTACTTAATCTATGGTAGCTTTTGTAACCCGACTCCGTGCACGTGGAATAGTTACTTTGGGCTAGTGATGATATAAGTAGCCTAAATCCTCAAAAAATGGGCTAACTAACACAAAAATAATAATTGTTCAAATCGGACCAGTAAGTTCCTGAGATTAGCGCGTTTTTAAGCAAAGAAACAAAGAGCCTTTATAATATTAGGCTGAGTTGCACCATCCTACTTTAACTGTAACTATAACAATAACCGCTGCTTTTTGTATGGAGTTTGACAGACTTTTGACGTTTGTTAGAGTTAAAATAACATGGTACAACCCAGCCTTAGTATAGGAGTATTACTAGATACATAACGATATAACGTACCTTGACTTTAGCTTTCTTCTTGCGAGTTGTAACGCGAACTCCGTCAGTCGAGACGTCCACAGTCACCTTTCGCTTTTTAACCCCCTTCGCCTTGAACTCGTACTGAAAACAAAATTTTCATTAAACATCAAATACGGATAAAGGAATGTCAGGTCTCAATTACACGCTCATTGTCGCGGGAGACTTGTTTGCGACGCCGCGACGTATTGTAAACGATACCAAAACCAGTATTGAGCACGAATAACTCTGGTAAGCGTCGTCGTCCTATGGGCCTCATAAGAAGGCTCAAGGTCACCCAAAGGGCGATGGAGCGGGCTATGCTCGGAGTTTCTCTGCGTGATCGAATCAGAAATGAGGAGATCCGCAGGAGAACCAAAGTAACCGAAATAGCTCGCAGNAATTTGAACGAGATTTTGTCAATAGACATTCCGTAAAAACGTATGATAATTACGATGATATAAGTCAAAAGAAGCTATAACAATAAATTATATGACTAAAATCATTTCGAAATCTGACAAATTCTCGATTTCTGCATGAAAAATGTGACAACGCTCTTAATCAAAGATCAAGTAACAGATGGCAATGGCAGCCTATCAGTTATTTTTCAGATTTTGTCTCGTTAGGGTTGCCACATTTTGATACTGTTATTTTCTTAACAATGTTAATTATATTTTCAGTAAGAGAACTTACTTTTATTTCAATTTATATCTGATTGTTCTTTAGATTAGTGAGATGTGGCATCGTATTGAGAAAATTGAAAGATTTTGTGAAGGAGAAAAATATTATTTCGGTAGAAATATTCATTATGTAAGTAGAATTGAAATGAATTTGCGTTGAATAAATTATGTACAGACGATGGTACATCAAAGTAAACACTAGCATCTTATACAGTTTTGATGGGTTAGTAGTAGTTTCGCACAATTTTCCTTCGCACGAATGTGCGAAACGTCCCCTTTCAATAATATTTTTTTTAGTAGGCGTTTCGCCGGGATGTATTAAAAGTATTAAAATCGCGTGCGAATCGACTCTTTTTTGAACTAGTAGTATGCGATTACTGTGTGCGTTTACATGTTATAACTTCTGTTACTTGAAATTCACATCAGTTATTTTCACAATCAATTTTTTTTTTGGATTTTTTCTTTTGTTTCAAGGATTCAAAATATGCCCACTGACAGGTTTACCTAACTTTTAACTGACAGCCCTGTCGTCTTCTTGTACTAACAGCGTACCAAAATTTAACGAGACGATCCGTTATCGCCGGGCCATTGGCGGGCTCATTAACGCGAAGAGCCCTAGTTTATAAACCAAATTAGCTATTTGATATTAATACCGGTTCATAGATGTAAGAGTGTCAATGGAAAAAGTTATGAGCTGTATGTACCTAAAGTTGAAAGAAAATATTAATCTGGTTCCTGAAAGTTTAAATTAAATTAATATTTTACACTCGAATTCAGAATGACTCAGAATCAAATAAGGACTCATTGAGCAAATACAGTGAAATCACAAAATGTAAAGTTACTGTAAAATTTAATGACCATATTTAATTATCAAGATACAGTACTGATTTATTTTATCTGTTAATTTGAGGGAAAAAGACAATGCCGGAAATTGGCGTCTTTTTTCGATTGGCCATCGACCAAACTTTGTTTTTTGATTACAAAATAGTATGTAAAATCATCAAACTTCTAATGCTGGTAACTCAGTTCAGAATGAGTTTAGAGGTATACATGCCATAGTAAGTTTGATTTATTACACTATTTTGTAATCAAAAAACAAAGTTTGGTCGATGGCCGCGAGAAAAAAAAAGACACCACCTTCCATACAAAATCTGGCATTGACATTTGTGTCTTCACTTTTAGACACAATCCTTTGCCACTCTTTCTCTAGTAAGTTATAGTAATACCTACTTTTGATATTTCTTAGACATTCAGGTAAGCATTAACAATTTACAATCTGCTGAACAGCTAATGTCACGTATATTCCCATATGAAGTAAAATGCCATATTACACACATTCATATATATTCCCCAACTCTATTACATACCCGGAGCAAGATAAAACATCATAGAGCACGGATCGCATCAGCTTTGACGTAGCTTATCAGCTGGACCGGGCAAAAGGACCTCCAGTTTGTCGCGGAATTCACAATACCGCGATATTGTGGGTATGTGAACACGGAACGCGAACGGCGAAAATAATATGTAGTTATGGTACCATGAAAGTGTATTCGATATAATACATAAAGTCAAATGAAATGAAATAGTTTATTTAGTACATACGAGGGGCGGCTGAAAAGTTTTGAGCCTAAGTATCTTCAAGTGCTATTATTGACTCGCTTTCAATTTATTTAATTAGCCAATAACCTCCTTAGTATATGTACAAAGTTTCATTTCATTAGCGTCATCACGCTTTTAGTAATTAATCAGTAAACATCATCATGTCTCAGTTATCCGCGCAATGTACGAAATCGAAGTACACAGTTGTCATAAAACTCCTCAAAAAGAGGAACAAAACGCTGACGGTAACATTTGAAGAGATGTCTACAGTTTATGGGGAGTCTGGGCCTTCATTTGCCATCATGAAATATTGGATCCGATAGTTCAAGCATGCCAGGGAGTCTCTAAAAGATAACCGCAAGTCAGGGCGGCCAGATTTCGCCATTAACGAATAAAATAATGAAAACTTAAAAAATCTTGCTTTAGAGATCAGCGAATTAAGTTGTGACAGATAGCTGAAACCATAGGCATTAACAAAGAACGTAACGGCGATATTTTTCATACTCATTTGCACATGAAATAGGGGTGCGCGGGATGGGTGCCAAAAATGCTCTCGCCGCTCGACAACCAGCGTCGAGTCACAACTTCGCAGGAGTTTTAGGACATCTTTGACCATAATCCTAACAATTTTTTTTCTCACATTATCACTATTGATAAATAATAGATCCGGCAGTACGATCTAGAGTCAAAATAAGAGTCACTGCAACGGTTTCAAAAGGGAAAACGCCGCCGCGGAAATTCAAAGTGGAGCGATCGACACCTAAGCTCATAGCCACTATTTTTGGGATTTTTGAGGAATTTTATTCATTGACTACCTACTTAAAAAAAACTACAATAAACGGGGATTATTATGCTGTACTGTTGATAGGAGTGCGTCAAGTGGTTGTTGAAATATTAAGAGGCAAACTGGCAAAAGGAAATCTGTTACTGCAAGACAATTCAACCGCGCACACCGCGCATGTTGCATGGCTTACCCCGGGTAAAACTGGATTTTAAGAAATTAATCACCCACCACACAGTTTAGTCCAATTCTCTAGCTATTTTGTTTAATTCTCAAATTGGAAAAAAGACCTCCAGGAACGAAGATTTTTGAGTGACAAAGAAAGGAAGGCGGCGTTAAAGGCTCATTTCGAAGGCAAAGATTGCGAATTTTTTTTCAGTGGGTTAAAAGCTCTTTTACACAAATGTAAGAAGTCCGTTGTAGTAGAGGCAGATTAAATAGAAAAATATATTTTTTACACTTTTCTATCGGCATTTTTAATACCCTAGGCTCAAAACTTTTCAGCCTCCCCTCGTAGGCCCTTTCCATGGCACTTATACACGTCCCAAATATAGCTTGCCCTATCACCACTTCGGAACAACATATGGGTTGGTGCCAAGAAGAAGTGGCGGAAGAAACTCAGTCACCTATGTCAGCCTCTTTTTCAATCCAATACAGTAATTTATAACTTACATGAACTAAAGAAATTATACAAAATGTTTTTGATTCCAAGTTTCAATAAGAATAAGTTTATTGGCACATAATAATTTAGAATGTTACAAGTAGGTATTAAAAAGAAAAAGAAACCCCGAATAAAAAAGGTCTTCTTCTTTTTTGTTGTTGCCAATATCAATCATCGAGGCCGACTTGAATTTTGTGCCTTAGAAAAAGGTCACCGACTCAACAAATACTAATTAAAACAATGAAATGTGGAGTTGACTGGCCAGTATCTTTAAAAAGTAAACTTATTTTCCAAACAAATGACAGAATGAAACGTCAAATCGTTTTGAAAATGAATACCGTGTAATTTTTTAAAACAATGAAGCATTATGTTAACTGGCCAGTATTAATGTTTTTGGTTTGAACCTCTTTATTTTAGCACAGACGGTTTTTTTACTGTACCTATACTTTATTTTTTAATAAAAATTGTGTAAACATCTACGACCCCGTGGTCACGTTGAAGCTGGCAATTTTGCGGCCGTGCGTTATCAATTTTTACCTTAAAAACGCTTTTTTAAGCCACTCGCTAACAATTACAATAAATCAGCTTGAAATCGGCTATAATTTTTACTGTTTATGAAATAGGTAATTTAATTAATGTTGTGGTAATAGGTACCTACTTTAAAAGTCTGAGCCAAGAAAGTGTAAGCAAACCGATTATTAATGTAGAAATTAATAAAACACTAAATGTCACGGTTGATATTAAGGGTTTTCGAAGGCTTTCTCAGCTGTAGTGATTTTGAATGTATTACCTATACCATACCATGTCTGTCTATCCGATAACGGACATATTTGTATTATCGAAAACGTTTAGTAAACCTGAATTTCAAGGAAATTCTAAAACATAAGACAGAAGCAAGGCCTCGAAATTGTAACCAAACCTAAACCAAAGATTGTATACCGTGCCTGTACCATGGTATCTCTATCAAACTTGCAAAGTTCTGGACTAAGAGCAGATTTGAACAAATCTCGCTAAGATTATCGCGCGCTCGGTTCGTTTGGCGTAACATAATACAAGCCGGTCTCGTCCAACAGGGCTGTCATCACCTAAATTGCTGATGTAGTCCAAAATTGCGCAGTTTCGTACATTGGCGTGAAGTTTTGTTTTCATCCCAGATACTTAAATCTGGTAATTTTTGTAGACATGCCTTTTATTTATCAAACGAATGAAAGACCTTCGAGATTTTGTGCTACCTTGAATTAGTCAGGGAAATTGGCAGAAAATGATGTTTATCTGTCATTTTTCTTCGGCCAAATTAACAGCTGAGTATGTATATATGAGTAATACGTACAGTGACAAGTTTTAAACGGACTAAAAGTAAAATCTATCCCCTGGACGTCCTCCAATAAGGTCAAATCCGGACGATCCCGGACAGACGGCAGCCCTGGAGCCTTCAACTTAACCGTATGCTTACTTTTAATTTAGCCCGGCAGTTTGCTCTCCGTCGGCCGATAAAGATTGCCGGTACAAATATTAATTTTGTTTTTCATACTACAATAGGCTATTAATCATACCTTTCT